GAAGGAATGCAATTCTGAAATAGCGCACACTGATTTTTCAAGCCAGGAAAATGATACTTCACTAGTGGGAAGACATAAATGTAACAGGGAAGGGGGGCAGAAAAGAGAAGAAAGATTTTTCATAACTTTGAAACTGCCAGGGCTTAAACAGGGTATGTCCAAGTTCTCTCCACCACCACCCCCAAGCAAAGAAAAGGTATGAAATGTCTTTTTTTTTTTTTTTTTTAAAGAAATTAATTTTCTTAATGAAAGTTATAATTAACAGATTTATGATCTCACTGAATGAGCTACCAAATAAAAGTTGTCTTTTTGAACATTTGCTTCTGTAATTACTTAATGTCACAGTAATTTGGTAGGACGGGGAAGTAGCGTATCTTAAACTTAGAGCACTAGATTAAGAGCCCTGGAAGGCTGTTCTTAGTAGGCAGGCGATAAATGCATTTGCCTTTGCCATTTTCTGTTCTTTAACTACCGTAACTCTCCTCAGCCACAGTCTCTTTATTCTCATTCCCATTCCTACACAATCCCATGCCCCTTTGCTTGGCTGCCCTACTCTTCCCCTGCCGCCTTGCCTCATTTTTCAGTACCTCTTGTGTCTCTGTCATAAGCTGATCTGAATTTTGTATTAGTCCTGCAGATTTTCTAGCCTTCAGTGCTTTTTCTCTGCTGTCAGCATAACAAATACAGGGATAGCGGTCCTCGCATGGACCCACAGCAAATACGGAGCCCTGAGCAGTGACTTGTGACAGGCCTTATAAAAAGACAGCGAAGGAATGCTACTGCTCCGTTGTGGCTTCTTCTCCTGTGCAACTGAAACGCAAAGCCCACAAGCCTGGGTCTGCAGAATTCTTGTCAAATTTTACCAGATGATCTCTTTCAAGGGAAAAGAAAATAAGCTCTATAGTGTAATTTTTTTGTTCTTCTTTAGAAATGGGATACTTCAGCATGCTGATTAATAGTTTCCTAAATTATGAATGCTGCTGTGAAAAACTGAGCAAACAATGCGTGCATTCAGTTTTAAAGCTCAAATGCAGTGCTCCGAGATGTCTGATTTTTTGTTTGTATCTGAATTCTTTGCCATTGACTTTTCTTTTTAGTTCAAACTGCCAAATGCTTAAGAGTTCCCCCTTATATTCTTCAGACACTTTTGTTCTGGGGAACTGAGTATTTCATTGTGTGTACAGCAAGTGAAAAATGAGCTGCTTGTGCCCTCGCACACTGTAGTGAGGTTAGTCTTTTGGGGGGTGGGAGGAGATGTCTGTAAAACACTGTTATTTTCCAGGGATAAGTGATTGTTCATTTTTACACTTGAAAAAAATGCTTGTTGACTCAGAGGAGATGCACCATGTAAATAAACGTGCTGACAAATTCACAGTGTTTTTTCCAACTGTTCACACTTGACGTGGAGGTATGAAGTAAACTGAAGTGCATCAGAAGAAAAGGTTTATGTTCAGACCTTAGCATACTAATTATTTTGACTGAATCACTGCTGCCATCAATTTGAACTTGTACACAGGCTGTAGAAGTTCGTGTTGTACTATAATGTGCAGAAGGTGCTTAAAAAACATTGTATCCGCTTGAATGTAAACCGGACTGCACCTTGCACCAGGACTGATGGCATTTTTCCCTAGAGCTTGCTGCCTGCAAGGAATCAAACTCCCTCACATTTCACCTCATATCCAACGTTCCCTTCCACTCCTCCTTATTAAAATGAAAAAAATCAGTATCTCCATTTTTTTTTCCCATGTTCCTGACTACGGCGCTGAAGTGACACACTAGACAAGAGCAGAGATTTATCTTCCATGGAATAATGATGTTTATAAACAAAGTAATGCTGTGGTCCAGCAGCCTCCATCACTGGTGCTTGAAATTTCCAGCACACGTTTGAATCACTTGGTTTAATCATCAAAAGTGCATTAGACCATGCCAACAGAAGCCAGGAGGCCTGTGTTACCTAGCTGACTATGTGTGCGTGAATACATCTCAACCTTTACGTAAGTGTTTGAGCTTATAATTCATTTAACATTGACGTCGATATTTCAAGGTAACAAAAAAAAAAAGACATGAAAAGATCCTTGACTAAAACCATTTTAAAAAGCTAAGCCATAAACCAGCCACAAAATAGTTTACCCAAAATAGGAATTACCACATTCAACTACTCTTTTAATCTGAAAAAAAAAAACATCCCAAACCTCTTTAAAATAAAGCATACAAATTTAACAATGATTTAAATTTGGGAATTGTTATTGTAACTTCCCAAAAGTGGATCTTAGAGTATTAATTCTTACTATGTGACAAAGGATCATTTATGTAGTAAAATAAACCTAGCGTTTAAGTGCCAATAATATAAATATGCATTGCTGGCACAGAATAGGAGTTTGGCAGTCATCTGTCCCTTAGCAATACTTTTTTATTACTCAGAACATTCCTCTGGGCCATAGGGGACTGAATTAAATTCATTATGAACTTTATTGGGAGGGATTTTAAATACATGCAAATGCCTGGTAGACTAGAGAGGGCTTCCTCCAGATTTCGCTTGTTTTTCTATTGAACAGAATTTTGGGGTTTTTTTCTGCACCTGAGCACTTAAATCTGTCTCCTTTTGTAGCCGAACATTTCCCCTCTCTCCTGGCCGCTGCCAGCCATCCCACAAAATTTGGAATTGTCTACAAAATTACAATTGTCACTGGGAAATGCCAACAACACACTTTATTTGGCTGCCATAGCCCATTAACTGAGGCTGTTGCGGTGACCTCATGTACATGCTCCTTTGGCTGTGCACTTAACCCTGACCGCCCTGGTCCGTCAAGGTCTGCTGGACTCTGCTGCTACTCTCATCACAGTTAGCCTAAGCAGCGCTACACCTCAAACTTTGCTTTTCTGTGATTTAATTAATGGCACAAAGGCACGTTCTCAACATATGCTTGTAAACTGACATTTAAATGGCAATTGTCAGTGGAACATAAGCATATGGTTACTGAGCTGTGAGTCAAGTGCAGGCAGTGATGCAGTTGGTTCAGAGAGAGACTTTTTTTAGTGCTCATTTCACATTCACATACTTGGTCCGACTATACTCAAAGGTATAATGTGACATTAATGCCCTATGCCTTACTCACAAAGTCTTCCAACCACGCATCAGAGGTATCAGCTCCCAAAAGAGGAAAGTACTGAGACCACCCCTCATTATTAAGTTTACTGTCATAAAACAATACTAATCATGAGGAAAGCACTTGGTCCCTATTTGATTCTGCTACAACTGGCTTTGAAAACACAAGCAAATACACCGTCTCGCTAATCAGGTTCTTGATGGTCATAATACCAGTCACTACTAACTTGGGAGAAGCAGAAAAGTAAAGACTCCAGGTTTAATTAAGAATGTGACTTTCAGGAGGTGGGGTTTTGGCATGTGTTTGTGTTTATTATTTTAAGCAGGACTCAAAAATCTTGCTTTTCATTTGAAATAAGGACATAAGTTATTAGTTTATTGTCCATCTAGCTTTTAAGAAAAAAGTCAAGCCCCACAACGCAGTCTTCAGTCACTGAGATGACCTTCCCAACTGCAGATCAATGCAGTGCTGTTTTCCAGCATGTGCAGCTGCTCCGTGCCTCTGCTGCTGCAGTTGTCTGCACGTGAGACGTCAGCTACCATATGCTTATTGTCTACTGACA